TTTCCTGTTCAGCTTGTGCAGCTGAGAACAGGAATAGTAATAAATAACCCTTGGGTTTGATGTAGAGTCTTTCACATTGGGAGAAATATTCAAAGCACTTGACACCCGAGCTGAGGATGGGAGCCAAAGGGGGTGGGAGGGGAAAAGTGACTAAAAACACAGTCAACGTTACAACTGGAGACTTGCTGTAAGAGATTCTCGTGCAATGTCAGCCCAGACTGGAAGTCCCAATGGGCCTTGAACTCGCAACTTCCTGGCTGAACAACAAATAACAACAGTATAGTGCCTTTCCCGTCAGGAGCATGTCTCAAGACGCTGGACAGTCAGGGACTGGTTGGGATCAGGAGGGGTGAGGGTGACCGAAGGTACGGTCAAAGTGGAGGGTCTTGAGACTGGTCTTGAAGGATGCAAGGGAGGGGGTGAGGTGGAGGGACTGTGGGATGGAGTTCCACAGAGGCAAGATTGTTTCCAATTGAGCCTGGCTGACATCTATCAACGATGGAACCCTCCATATCCACCAAAATCTCTCTTGGGAAGGAGGGTCGGGCTAATATTGATCTTTACACTTGACATAGCGCCTTTCATGTCAGGAGAACATTTCAAAACGCTTTACAGAATTTACTGTAAAATGTAGTGACTGTATTTTGTAGACAAACACAAGTGTATTGATTGCTGCTGCTCTGAGAGTTTGCCAAGCATATGTACCTTATTTCTGCCTCCAAATTATTGCAGAGTGGCATTTGTTTCAATGATTTCCTCACCGCATGAGTGGATGTTTCCATTCCCTTTATTAAAAACCTCTACATTTGAGCCAATTGGCTCAACATGTCAGAATTTTTTTGTGTACAATTGGAACAAAACGTAATGGCTGAGTACTGTTTTGTGGCAGAGTAGTGTTTTCCAGCTTACTTGAAAAAGGGTCTACTTTTTTAAAAACCTCCTAGTATTGTGGCTCTGGTGATGAACTACTTGACAAGGAAAAATTTGCAAGGATATGGGGAAAGAGCGGGGGAGTTGCCGAATGGCCTCCTTCTGTGCTGTAATATTCTATGATTCTAGGATTTAGTGGAGTCCTGTAGCTCTGGTTAGGGGACTCGCCTCGCAAGCGAGAAATCTGTGTTCGATTCCCGGCAGGGCAAAACCTTGGGTAAGTTTCCTTACTCCACACGCCTGATAATAATCCCTCAAAGAAAAAAAATAATAAATTGGTCACTTCAATCCATGACTGTTTGTGGGACACTTATGGTTTTAATTAAGTTTTATGTATGGATATTTCCTTCAATAAGATGAGTCATTTTGCTTTTGGATGGGGGGTGGGGTGGAACAGGTGCTTCTGATGAGTTTGTGTTAACTTGCTGCTCAGTTTATACTGCACTGACATTTAGATTTACAGTGAAAATGTCATTAAATGAAAGATGATATAAGACAAAACTGTAAGAATATGCAGAAAGTAATTTCTGTATATGCTTATTGTCTTGTCTTCTATCATCTTGGAGAAACATAAATGGGTGCAAGAGTATTTTATGTTATAAAGTTGAAGTTATTTCAATGCTGCGTAGTTTCTTCTGGTCAACAATCCCCCAAATAAAATTGGCCATTCATTTTGTGGCTGTTTTTGGGTCACTACTGTGTACAAATTGGCTGGCAAGTCCATCTATAAACACATAGTCACAACACATCACAGTAAAATCTTGCAAAGCGCTTTGAGATGTTGTTATAATGTGATAAGGTACTATATCAAATGCAAGGCTTATTATTTTCAGATTCTTTATAAAATATAAAGAAAATATTCTGAAACTACAGGATTAAGTGAACTCTCATTCTTACTGATGCGTCAGAGTATGATTAAAGGCATCCTTCCAAACCACTGTAAATAAGTCCAGAGTCCTGTAGCTCAGGGTTAGAGCACTCGCTTTGCAAGTGAGAGACCTGAGTTCAATTCCAGGCAGAGGGCGAAACCTTGGGCAAGTTTCCTTACTCCACACAGAGCCTAATAATAATCCCTCCAAAAAAACAAAACAATAATAAATTGGTCATTTTCAATCTACGACTGTTTGTGGGACATTGCTGTGCGCAATTGGCTGCCGCATTTGCCCACAAATATACAGTTAATTCACTTTACAGTGTGTTCTGTGAAGCGCTTTGGGACGTTCTCCTGACGTGAAAAGCGCAAAATCAAATGCAAGGATTATTATTATTTATAAGAACATGAAAATTAAATTTGAATGGTTTTGTGTTATTTTCCTAGACTCTGTAATTTTGTGGATTTTTAAAAAATTTATAGGAGAAATTATAAGGATGTGGAGACGGAAAAACAGATTACACTTTCAAAACTGTATCAGTTTTCTCTGGATATCCATTTGTAGATCTAGAAGAGTTGATGTCGCCCAAAATCAAATACTGTTTTGATTTTAACTAATATTGACCATTTCCTCTCATTGTGCTTTGGGTTCCTTTTGAAAACTGCACTGTACAGACTGTCTGCAAACATTCTACATTTCAACACTAAATCATTATTGGTATCTTTTGTAGGGCAGGTGGGAGGGAAAACAGTTAAGAGCTTATGAACATGCTTGTGGGCTTTGAGGATATTTTTTAATTATCAACTGAACATTGTCTGTATTAACACAATGCTAACCTGTCTGTTGCTTTCAGGTTTTAATTGCATTTCTAATATGTTCTGTTTTTGCTATCCTTAACACATTTCATTTTTGTCTGTTGCTACGTTTCGCCCACAAAATATGCAGTGAATTCACTTTACAGTATATTCTGTGAAGCGCTTTGAGATGTCTCGAAGACTTGATATCAAATGCAAGGATTATTATTACATTAAAACTACAAACTAGTACAATATTAAAACTAACATGTGAGGAGAGTCAATGGGAATCTGGGCTGAACATAACAAATGTGATTTACAATATTTTTCATCATCAGGACTTTGTTGTCTATCTCATTGGTTTAATTTACAACTCACAACTTTAAAGCAATGATGTTTTTCCTGAAAGGGCTCTGACATCAGAAGGATTTTTTTTCAATTGCTGACGAAAGTCTGGTAAAACTTTTTGTTGAACCTATGATGAATTTTCAGGAAAATACCTGACAAAAGAATGGTTCATTACACCAGTGATAATTCAGTCACTAATTTCAAATGTTTTCCAAAATGTAAATTTGGTTTAGCAGACCCCCCAGTTCATTTGTTGCCTTTAAGTCACCATTCTTTCAAATACTGTGGATACTTAAATATACCCTGTTCTCTCACATACCATAGTTTCTTTGGGTACTTGCAGTAGCCTCAATAGTTGATTCAATTAAAATTTTCATGAAATTATAGTTTCCATCATTGCAAAAAATTGTTTATACAGAATTATTTACGAAATTAACATTAGAAAGAAATTGTGTAACAATCAGAAATGTATTTGCATTGTGGATATCAAAATATGTAAATTGCATGTTATTTTGCTGCTAAATCAATTTGCTTCAGGTTATTATTGGAGCTGGAGGTGCAATAATATTTTATGGGAAGTGGGGTAAATTTAAATATTTGATATTTAGGTCATCTGTACGTGCATGCGCATGTGTGTGCGAGAGAGAGGGGGAGAGACTCCCAGACATTCTGGATGGCAATGGTGCATTGCCCTTGAAGAGCAGTCAGGTTCGCCTGTGACAATTGAGTGGCCTGACAACACTCACTGCCAAGCCTCACCCGTGGAACTGTACACCAGCAAGAGTAGGCCGAATCAGGAACATTGAGCGACATACCAGTGGGGAGAAACTTAGAAAAATATTTAGGGACACTACACTTTTTTTAATTTCAAAAAAAGAGAACAGCGTGGTGAGGAGTTTTCTCCTACACATCGAAGTACATTTATCATACTCAATCAACCTCACTGAGAATCTTGAAAGAATTCTGTATGTTAAGGTATTGTCACTCCTTAGCAGTGGTAGAGGTATTCTTTGGCTTGTTTGGTAGGGGATGAGAAGAGTTGAAGATCAAGGGGAGTCAAATCAATGTTATTGTCAAATTTATGATTCCATTTGAATTGGGCGAGTTCATGATCTCTTGTGGGAGCTTCAGAAGATTGTTGAGTGTTGGATACTTGCTTGCGCTTCTTCTTTGTTGCTGCGGGAGGAGGGCCCTTCAGGGAAGTGTTGAGTTGATTGTAGAAAAATGTTGGTGGTTTCTCAGCTCTTGGCATAACGACAACAACTTGCATTTATATAGTGTCCTCCACACTGGGTGGCGTCCTAGAGCGCCTAACAATGGTGGAGCCCAATGGTAAACCAGGGATAGGGGGAAGGTAACCATAGGCACGGTCGAAGAGGAAAGTCTTCAGGCACAGTATGAAAATGGGAAAAGAAGGGGCAAGGCGAAGGGATTGAGGAAGGGAGTTCCATAGCTTCGGGCGTAATGGTTGAAGGCACGGCAGCCAATGGTGGAGTGGAGGGTTCAAGGGACAAATGAGGAGGCCCAGACCAGTAGAGCAGAGGCAGAAGATAGTGCTGTGAGGAGAGAGAAGGTTGGAGAGATAGGCGGTTATTAAAAGGACTCTACCTTTGGGATATGTCTCTCCATTATGGCAGATTCTTACGTGTTTCCTATTTGAACTGTTCAAAGAAGAAGCAAGGTAAATATTGCTTCACCCGAAGGGACGAAATGTTGGGCAAGTTTCCTTACTCTACACACCTCTGTTTACCTAGCAGTAAGTAGGAACCCGGTTGTCAGTTGATTGGCGGATTGCTTTTCTGGGGATAATAATCCCTCAACAAAAATAATAATAATTTGGTCACTCAATTTGGCCACGAATGTTTGTGGGACACTGCTGTGCGCAATTGGCTGCTGCATTTCTCCCACAAATATACAGTCAATTTACTTTGCAGTATATTCTGCAAAGTGCTTTGAGACGTCTAGACTATGTGAAAAGCGCTGTATCAAATGCTACAATTAATATTATTTATTATAATATATAATATTTCTTTTGTTTTCACTTTTTCCTCTGTAGAAAGGGAATTCTAGAAGAGTACACCCAAATCACTAGCCTTGTAACAGAGGAAATAGTAAATATCCACAAAGATACTCAAAATTCCATTGAACAGATTGACCCCAGCTCGGAGTACAATTCCTTCATTGAAAATCATAGGTAATGTATTCCTTGTCAATCTATTTGTAAACATAAATCAATGTGTTGCAAAAATGAGTATAACTTTTAATATCAGTGGGAAAATATTTACAAATTTAATATAATTTGAATGGTTAAACACTGTTTTGTTTCAGGCATCGGTAAATTGTAATAGGTACTGGAGATTATATTTTGTTGCAGTTCTAATTCTTGGTTGCAGCTTTTTACATTTCAAAACATTATACTGAACTTTAGCATCCTGTCCTGAAGCAACATGCAACTTTTTTTTACCATTTGTTTTACAGGTCACCGGTAATTAAGGAGACAGGCATTGAATTTGATGTTTTGTTATTAGAAGATATGGAAAACCTTCATGCGAATGAAATTCTTTGGAATAATTTAACAGCAGAAAGCTTGCAAGCCACGTAAGTTGCTTCACCCCACAGTGATTTCCCTCAACTTATTGAATAACTGATTTTGGATGGTACTTGTCTTGTTCCAGTACTTTAAAAGCAAAAAAAAATTATATTAAATGTAAATTTATTTGCTGCTTGCATCACGCTCACAAATTTAAACTCTTAAGTGACACCTCCAGATGGCCATCTGCTATAAGAGGTTTCTGCAAAACTCAGTTCTGCATCTGAAATAGTTGAGTGGTTTTGTCAACAATTGTCTCTCCTCCCCTTTCATGCATGTGACACATTGTTAAGAAATTAGACCTTAAGAGATTATGGCAACCACCTTCTTGAGGCAACAACACTTAGAAGTTTATATTCATAATGTCAGTGATGTCATGTAAATATGATGTCAGGGAGCGGTTCCCTGACTGTCCAGCACCTTGGGACGTCCTCATGACGTGAAAGGCGCTATACAAATGTAATAATTTGTTGTTGCATGAAGCAAAAAGTGCTTCTTCTGAAGATGAACACTGTAAGTGTCACTTAATGTTGAAAGTAATAAGTGCACTTACTGCTGAAAGTGAATGTAAAATCGAAGTACTGTACTGTTAGCATGCTGTATATCAGTGTAGTCATTTTAAGATTCTCGAATTTGCTTTCAAATGCCTCCATGGCTTGCCCCACACTACCTCTAACTTCTTGTGCCCCTTTTTCCACAGCTATTTCCTCCACTCCACCAACTCTGGCCTGCTTCATCTCTGCAGACAACCCTATCCCACACTTGACAGGGAACTTTCACTTTCCCTCTGGCCTCTGAAACTCTTTCAAAATCCCTCTGCTTCTCCCCCTCTGTCTGCTTACAAAACTTTCCCAAAAACCCATCTCTTTAACCGCTCCTTTAGTTGTCTCCCCTGTTTCCCTCCCGCCGCCTCCCCCCCCCCCCCCCCCCATCTCTCTCTCAACTTGGGCTCCCACTCCCATCTTTGTAAAACATTTTGAGACTCATTCTCTCTGAGTGAGGAGCGTTATATACACAAATACACACTTTACAATCATCCTATTAAGCATATTGGGCGTGATCTGATATGAAAGGTGCTATACCAAATGCAAGGATTATTATTACGTAAGTGCAAATTGTTGTTCTAATGCATTTGCACTTACATTCAAAATTCTTGAAAGATTTAATGAAAGCCCTTTTGTTGATATTGGAAGCTTCTAAACTTTATTCAACTGATTAATTGCTGATGACTTAACTTTATAACACTTTTTCAAAAGACAATAAACTGTGAGTAATTTGGTTTTATTTGAAATAATCTGGTAGGATAAAAGCAACATCTGAGGAATTGAACCAAACTCAACAAACTATAAGCAGCAAGGAAGAAATAATGCTGGAATTGGAGAAGAAAATCGATGAAGCTTCAACGACATACGAAAAGAAATCTGAGTAAGTACTAGATGCAGGGTAACTCACTTAAATGTTGAAGTAGCTTGGAAAATCAACATTTTATTACCTTTAATAGCACCTTTTCAGTGCTTCATGTCCTCCTTCAGCTATGTGGAAGGTCAGCCTGCTCTGCACGTGACAACTGATATGAAGGGCATGTCACTGCAAAGCCAGAGAGGTGTGCCTGTTCATGGGTGGATTTTCTGTTTGAACAAAATTGCTTTTTAGGTGGAGCATTACGTGGTACAATGAGGTGCACCATCTAATGCAGGGGTCGCCAACCGGTTGATTGCCACTAGGTGGCACTATTGCACATGATTAAAAAGACAAAAGGAAGAAGCAATAGAACTTTTTTTTAGTCAAATTGAAAACAAAGCCGGATGCACCAAAGTATTTAATGCATCTTGAAATAAAAATATAAACTTTAATGTTTACGTTGTGGTAAATATTGCTCCTGCCTCTTGTGCCCGCAGTCCCTCCGCCTCGCCCCTCCTTTGCTTCCTTCAAGACCCATCTCAAGCTCCTCCTCTTCGACCGTGCTTTCGATCACCCTGCTTTCCCCCCCCCTCCACCCTCCCCGATCCTGACCCCCAGTTTGTGTCCGAAACACTGATTGTCCAGCACCTTGGGGCATCCTCCCGATTGAAAGGCACTATACAAATGTAATTTTGTTGTTGTTGTTTTGTTGAGCATGCACGAGGTGCCACCTCGATCAACCAGTTGGATCTGTTCAGAAGTGAAAACCATTATAGTTGTGTTTGAAGTCGTAAATAGAATTCAAATGCTGGAGCCCTTAAAGGAAGAGCAACACAATACTGCTTGATCATTATCTCCTATATTTTCCAAAATATTAAACAAGTTTCTTTGTTTTTATGAATTGAAGAGTAGATCTGTTATAAAAGATTGTCAAGCTTTGAGCAGTGAGTCCAGAATGAAAATTGTGAATACATTGGTTTGTGAAAGGATTAAAAATATCCATTCCTGAAAATGACATATAGATTAGCCCAATATTCTGCTACTCGAGTTGTTTTCTATCATGGAATTTCCATTTATAGGTTGAATGCATAGAATTCTGTTTGCAAAAAAGCACTGACTGATGGTTTCATCCCATTACAACATTGGTTAGGATTTTATCAGCCCCCAGCTACTATCCTGTAATTCAAAACTGTTGTTTTACACTCTAGGTGAAGCTATAAGATAGTTGGAAAAAAAAGGCTTGTGCTTTTCAATGAACAATAACAACTTTGTGATCCTAACTGCGTGTGTGAATTCTCTAATTCTTTTACTTTTGTATCAACTGATTGCCTGAGAGTGAAGATGCTAATGCAACTGTTCAAAATTCCTTTTCTCCAGTATTGTGTTGTTGCTGAGTCAGAAGCAGGCATTGGAGGAGTTGAGACAGAGTGTGCAGCAGATGAAATGTGCTGAAGCTAAACTCTTTGCACAGAAGGAAATGTTGGAACGAAAGGTGACAGAGAATGATGGTAAAGAACCACCTCCCGTCATGGCTTATGAAGAGGATGCAAGATCCATCACTTCCATGGTAAGATCATCAAGTTTGATAGTTGAATGAACAAAAGTTCAACTACATTCTGATAAAACATTAATTTTTACCGCTGCCTCCGCTGAATCAAAAATAATTTGGGGGCTGTCTGGTATGTTCCATGTTCTTGTGGGCCACAAAGAGCCACTTTGTGCTTGTAGCTTGTTAGAAGTTGGAAGAAATAGATGTATGAGGGTAAACTGATTTATTTGTTAACTATTCGAAACATACATTTTGGCATAAAGAAGTAAAATCGGTCTCCCTAGTTTATGAATTAGCTTTCAGATAATTAGAGCTGTCTCAAAAGTTCACTGGAGAGGTTTGGACAAAGTAACCCTGCAGCCTGTTCACTTGATTCTTCTAGAATACCCACCCTCCTATAACAACATTAGCTGTTACGTACGTGATTCATGTTTCTTGGGCTCTACCACACTGTCTGGTAACTTTCAATTACCCTCTGTTCAAAGAAACCCTTCATGGTATCAATGAACATATTCAAGACTGAGGTTGATAGATTTCTAAAGGATAGAGGGATTTAGGGATATGGGAATAGGGCAGGTAAATGGAATTAGGTTAGAAGATCAGCCGTGATCTTATTAAATGGCAGTGCAGACTCGAGTGGCCAAATGGCCTACTCCTGCTTCTATTTCTTATGTTCTTATCTCCTAAAATTACCCTGAATGTGTCGAAGATTTTAGTGACTATAAAATGTTATGTGTGGAATTGTCATATCTGATGGAATCTGATTTCTAAATTTGGATTCCTGCCTATTCGCAGTAAGGTATTTTATATTGAAAATTCATAGAACAGTTTATTTAATTCAATACTTAAAGATAAACCTTGCTTTAGAGCAGTAGTGGCCAGGAAGTAACTTTAGTGGCAGCCAAACAAACACATTTTTCTTGATTGAATATTTCTATTCATGTCTGCACCATAAATAGAAACAATATTGATTTAACGCAGAAAATGTCATTTGTTTCAAGAACAAATTAGATAGATTTCTGCCAGAAAATAATATCTCAGGATACAGTATGTAGTTTGGGACACGACATGTCAAGCGACTGCAAGGTTGGTGGAAGGTGACTAGGTGGACTTTGGTCATCTTTCACCAAGCAAATTCTTCTGTTCTTATGTACCTAGTCTAGTGGGAAGTTCTTCACTTCTTGACGCGCCCGGTGGCACTTTTGGCCCGCAGGCCATGGGTTGGCCACCGCTGCTCAAGAATTTTCATAGTAAACAGCAACCACTTCATATCGTAGTTGTCAGAGTTCAATGTCTTAAACCCTGAATTCTAGAGAAGCAAAGTAAAATGGATACCTTCTCGGCCGTCAGGTTGCCACTGCAGTTACATCCTGTGGGCATGCAAAGAGATGACATTGGTGCTTCCTGTGCAGAGCCTTTCCTGGCCAAAATTTTGTAACGCATCATTACAAATCAACTTCGTTCACACCCATCCCTCCACTCCCGACTCGAACCTCTCCTTTCCAGTTCTCGCCCTGCCCACAGCACAGACAGCACTCGGCAAAGTAACAAATGACACCCTCTCTCTCTCTCTGTGATCAGGGCTCCCTCTACCTCCACGTTCTCCTTGACCTCTCCGCCGTGTTTGCTACAGTCGATCACACTATCCTCCGTCTACCACCTCTTCTCCCTTGTCCACCTTAGTGGTACCGCACTCACACGGTTCGAGTTCTAATTAACAAACCGCCAACAATACATCTTATAATAATATATTAAGTATATTATAATAATAATAATTATAATAATATAATAATAAGAATAATCAAGGATTATTCCTTGCATTTGATATAGCGCTTTTCACATCTTCTAGACGTCTTAAAGCGCTTCACAAAATAGACTGTAAAATGAATTGTCTGTATATTTGTGGGCAAAATGCGGCAGCCAATAGAGCACAGCAATGTCCCACAAACAGTCGTGGATTGAAATGACCAATTAATTATTGTTTTTTTTTTTTGACGGATTATTATCAGTCGTATGAAGTAAGGAAACTTGCCCAAGGTTTCACCCTACTGGGAATCGAACCCAGGTCTCTCACTTGCATAGTGATACCTTTTACTTGTTTTTTTTTAATCTTGGCCAATAGTTTTTGTTCTTGCCCCTGCCCGATCACCTGCGGGGAATCCCAACGCTCCATCCTTGACACCTTTTCCTTATCTACATGCTCCCTCTCGGCAATGTCATTCCCAGACATGGGGTCAAGTTCCACAAGTGTGTGGATGACACACAAATCTACTTCTCCTCCTCCAGCTGTGACTCTGAGTCCACTGATGTCCTGTTAGCTTGTTTGATGGACATCAAGGCCAGGAAGAGTGCAGACTTCCAACAGCTAAATGTCAGCAAGACAGAAGCCGTACTCTTTAGTTCCTGTCAACATCTTCTGTGAATCTGAACTCCTCAATCTTCCAGGGCTGTCCCTCAGACTCACCGAACCTGTACGCAACTTAGGCATCCAGTTCGATCCCCAGCTTTCCTTTCTACCCTCCACTCTGGAATCCTCTCTCTCAATCCCTCCTCCTTGCCCCCTACCTCCCCACCTTGAAATCCTGCCTAAGGACCTTGCTTTCTGATCGTGCTTATGATCACCTCCACCCTTGATCTCCCCCTGGCTCAACGTCGGACTCTGCCACTGTCGAGCATTCCGCGAGGCTATTCTGCGGCGCTATATAAATGTAAGTCGTCGTCGTAGTATGCATGTGTAGGAAGTGACTTTGGTGGCTACCTGATGAGCCAACAGTTGGCCTTGTTTTTTTAGTGACAGGTTTTGGATTATGTGACTTAGATTCTAAGGTTAAAAATAATGTCCAAAACCAAATCAAAATAATGAGATTGCCCTGCATTACTGACTTTTTTCAACCTTGGAATAATAATAATCCTTACATTTGATATTGCATCTTATCACGTCTTTGAAACATCTCAAAGCGCTTCACAGAATATACTGTAAAGCAAATTGATTATATTTTGGGGGCGAAACGCAGCAGCCAAATGTGCACAACAATATTGATATTTAGAGGAATCGGAGCAGTATTGATTCAAATCAATGTGCAATTTTGTCAACTTGCCGGGAACTCAAGAGAAAAAGACAAATTCATGTAAAAAAAACCTTTTGTTTGCATCAACTTATCTATGATTTGTTTTTAACTGGAGGTGCCATTTTTTTATCTGGTTTGTGGGTTGGAAATCTAATGCTAAACAGCATCTCTGATTACATTTGGTAGGCTAATGATAGTGTACCACTATTAAGTTGATCAAATGTTTATGTAAACTATCAATATATGATTATCTATGGTATCACTATAAAAACTATAATACGACTTGGAAAGGAATATGCCATGACACTGAAATGTTAAACAGTTTTCTGTTGCTGGAGATAGTTTTCACTTTGGTGTGCTCTGCTGCGAGTCTCTAATGGCAGAAATGTAATGCCTGCGGTACTTTGTAAACATTTGTGAAATGCAGGAGGACCCAAATTATTTGACATGGTAAAATTGTTGTTGAGTATATTGATTGAGATGTATTGCCCAATGCACAGCTATAACTGTCGAGTGAGCTGCAATAAATTGTTTGCTATGGCAGTGTGGAACAAATGAATCTTATCAGCAAGCATTAGGAGGGCAGCAGAAAGACGAATGGTTTTCTTTCTGTCTGAACACGTATTTCATGCCAATAACATTAAAACTATAATAAATAAAATTAATATACCATAAATACTAAACCAAAGAACCCACTGGAAGACAAGTTTGCAAAAAGAAATTTCAAACTGTATATTAGGCTAATTGGGATGAATACATTTTAAAGCACAGGGATGCCTCAAGCAATGGGAGAGATGATATCAAGAATACGTGTCTCACTCTTGTAGTAAATGGGTGTATCAGTTGATTTACTTTCTGCATTCAATTCAAGTGCAGAGAAGTGTTCTGTTTACACAGAGATCTAAATTATCCCCCACGCTGAAGTCTGATATCCGTCAGAAAACTGTTGAGGAAACTCTTGAGGCTTGGGCGACGATTGCTGGAAGACACAACCTGGAGTCAGGTTCGTGAACATGCATTCAGCCACACCCGGCTTGGAATCCACTGATTGGAGTCGAGAAGGGTAAGCAACTGCTGCTCAAGCTCTGCTTCTCCAACTGGTGGAACCATTGCTCAATGGGAAGAGATGCCAGTCCGATCTGTGGACAGGAACATAGTGGCTGAACTGTGTTGCCCGTAGTTGCTCACCAGGAAGCTTGCAGGGTATCTGCTATCCACTTGGTGACTTCTAAGGAAAATAAGCTATAGAAATTAGGCACAAAAAATCGAAGTTCAGATAACATCAGAGAACCACGGAGGAGGCGGCAAAGGGGTTGCAATTGAAGAGTTGCGATATGATTTTGTTTCATTGTGATTTTAAATGCTTATTTTGGGGAATTTGGGGGTTAATACAGAAATGTTTCAGTGTCTGTTTTGGTGAGCTGAAAATGCCACGGCCTCAGAGAAATCCATTTCCCTCAACCTGTTGGTTATCTGAGTTAAACTTCCTCTTTCTAGTTTGTACAGTTGTGGATGTTTCCTCCAGGAGCAATGGGCCTGTGAGCTTGGTGTGTGATTTACATGATGTTTTTTCTGGCATACGGAGTTGGAACTCGCTTTATTTTATTCCTTTGTTCACTCGTTGGGCTCAGGCGAAAAGTGGATTTAACTCATCAATAACATTGCATTTCCCAAAAGCTTTGGAAGTTAACTCTTTGCACCGAAGAATTGAAGAATTGCTTGGGGCTTGTCTTGTTCAATGATGCACACTATTTAAGGATCACTTGGCACGAAGTAGCCTTAACATAATGGTTAGTGTTTTGCTGTAGGGAAGCTTGATGTTTTAAAATATTCCATATTTTGGAATTGTTTTCTGTTCTTCCTTTCTCTTTCCACTCACCATGCGTTAGGTTTCTCTAGAATCTGTGGCATATTCAATTGCCAAGTCTAGTTTAGTGATTTTTTTTCTAT